CATATCCTCTCTTACCTTACTTATCCAAAAAAGTAGTTAAATGTAATGAAATCTCGCAATAGAAAATAATTTTTGTGTCAGCTAGTATGTATATATATATATATATATATGTGTAGGATTTAGGTAATAAAAATCACTCACAATTTAATTTAATTAAAATTAACACTATATTACATAAATATGTATGTACATTAATGTGAAAAACAAATATCGATCCACGTTAAAATTATGGAGGAATTGCCGAATATATCACGGAGAATGTCGCGGATTGTAATTCACGGTGTCGCGGATTGTAATTCACGGTGTCGCGGATTGTACTTACAGACTGACTGAATAATGGAGCGTCTGACCAACCGGTATGGGCATGTACCTTTTCCGCCAAATATCCGGTTCCTTTATTTACGCACAGCCCTATATCACCAAAAACGAAAAAGGTATGATTCCCGTTTCCACTAAAATGTATTATTATGATAAGACGTTTGGGAACCATGTACAATTGTTACATATTCTTTCATTATAAATTTTAATACAAATAGATAATAATAATACATTAGTCGAATATAGGTATAATTATATTAGAGTTTTTTAAGTATTACATAATTTTATATACATACATATATATATATATATATATATATATATATATATAATATGTCCATTTAGGAGCGGACTGAGAGTACTTCGGCCCGGATGGAGAAGATTTGAGCGGCCCACATTTTTTTTTGTACGATCAAAAAATTTGCAGCTCGCTGTGCTCGTTTATCATAGGCTAAAATCTCCTAAAAGAGTGTTTAGCACCGCCAATATATTCTAGGAATAAATAATACTTATCATCATTCATAATATTATATTATATCGTTTACTTAAAATCTTTCATGTCAATATTTACATGTTACTGAGACAATTTATTATGTACTTATTTTTCAGATAACTAATGATATACTAGTGATCATTGTGTATTTGTGCTGTTTAGACATACTATTATATAATCAAATACTTGATTATATTATGTACCTATTATTATTTTATAAGTAAATTTTTATTTTCATGAATTTGTTTCTGTTTATTTTAATATTTGTTTTAAAGATTTGGCAGAGTATTTGAGATTTATGGGGAGTATGAGTGTCAAAGCGTTATTTCGACGTGCGGCACCACTGCGTCATCGTAATTGCGAGGCGTTATATGTATAATTCAATTGACCGATCACACACGTCTCCATCACCGTACGTTATCGTACGAGTTCATACAAGACAAAAATTACTCCGATAACGCAACGTCAAAATATCGTAAATGCAGCGTCTCATTACATAACGATTTATTGATTGATACACATGCGCGTGTTTTTATTGTAATAATGGCTTTGAACACACAATTTTAAATTTTTGACATTGAACTTTTTATTGCGGAAATAAAGAAGTACCTACCCTGAAATTTGGAACTTTATTTGTGAGTCATATCATGACAGACTAATAAAACGATTGGTTTGGATTAATATTTGCCATGAATTTTGCGAGGGATTTGATGAGAAATAAGATGCAATAAATAATGAAATAAATAAGAGAACATATTTAACTGAGATGTACCCAGTAACGCCTGTTTTTTTTTCGATAAATAGTTTTTATAAACTAAATATGCAAAAAACTACCAGTTTTCGGTTGTACACATCCATAATCAGTAGTTACTTTGCGTAGTGTATCGACACATTTTTCGTAGTTCAAATGTTAGTGTTCAAGCGGTGCCGCGCGTCAAAATTACACACGTGTGTATATTACAATTACGATGACGCTGCGGTGCCGCACGTCAAAATAACGCACGTGTGTACCGAGCCTAAGTTGTTAAAATAGCTATACTATCGTTATACCTGTAATATTTTATTCTTATACTGTTGTAATAGTTATCCAACTATATTTATTTATATTTTATTTATATTTATTATTATATAACGGGCACAAGGCCCAAAAGTGCAATATTACATTTTACATACATTTATATAATCTAGTACTTGGTAACAGAAAGTAATTACAAATATTGGTTAATACAACTTAAATAATACAGTATTTTGATGACATAAAGTAATTATTAATTAACAAAACACATAATGAATTTAGTATTATAAACTGAATAGGGTAGGGTGCTCATTGGCCAAACGCATCATTCGATCAATTAGGTTATTCTTACCATAGTTTGTATGATGGAAAGGAATTAAAAAAGGAAAACATGATCTTGAAGAGCGAGGGGGAACTCTAAAGTTAACTTGGGAGAGTAAGGAGGGAGCATCAATACTGCCATTAATTAGCTTACTCAAAAACATCAAATTAGCTGTCATACGTCTATCAACCAGGGAAATCAAACCAAGCTTATTAGAGACAGGAAGGTAATCATGCTTATTGTGCTGTATTCCCAAAATATTGGCGGCAGATGATAAAAAACGTCTCTGGACTTGCTCTAGATGTGAGGAGTCAGTTGTCGTGTACGGATCCTAAATAACGGATGCATACTCTAGTAAGGACCTCACCAGAGAACAATACAGCGTTTTAAGTGAGGTGGCCAGCTTAAAGTTCTTCGACGTTCGGATAACAAAACCTAGAGTCTTGAACGCTCTACAACAGATTGACTCTATATGATTGTGAAAATTGAAATCAGAACAGAATATTACTCCCAGATCTTTTTTACTAGTGACCATATCTATACTTGAGCCATTTATTGAGTATGCTTTTACTATAGGTGAATGACTCCTAGTAAAGTACATAGACTTACATTTGTCAATATTAAATTGTAACCCAATAGATTTGAACCACAACACAACACAATAACACGAGATAACAAAAAAATCAAAAAATCAAAAGTACCAATATCAAAATGTAAAAATCCCACCAATCTTGCTGCCGTAATGACACCAACCTAAAATATTTATTTATTTTCCAATTCAAATATTATTGTATAAAATGTATTCAAGATTAGTGGAATGACCAAAAGTATCAGTTGGGACGATTTAGCGGATTTTAGACCCCGCTATTGCAGGGCCAATTACAAATGATGTGACAAATAAATATTTAAATAAAGGCTTACTAGGTGTGGGCCAGTGGCAAAGTTTCATTGTTTTTTCGACTTTATATTTTAAATTTACTCATGTTGAAATTAGCAGATCCAAAAAGAAATGTCCATTGATAATCGTATTTATTTGAATAATAATATTAATACTATAATTATAATGTGAAATTATATTAACTCTATATAGATCCACGTTACTTACAAATCCAAAGAAATAAAAGATGTATGAAATGTTTTGAGTTTTTAACTGATGGGTACTCAACAGTACCTTTTACCGATTAAATAAACATTACCTATTTTATAATCTGTTGTGGTATTTTTTATACATTTTATCGATTTAATTTCGGGGACTGCAGTATTCAACACATAAACATGACGATGTTTTTTCTTTTTGTTTATAAGTACAGTGGCGTACATATGGAGGGATTTCGGGATAAATCCTCCCCTCAGGAACACAAAAAAAGTATTATGGTTTATGATAAAAATAACGGTTTAGGTGAAATTTTGAGATAAACATATACAATAATATGTCATTTAAATTCCCCGTTCATAAGAAAATTGAATTAACATCACTGAATTGATTACCTTAAACCTTATTGCATTTGCAATAAACGAAATTACATTAGACACATGCCAAATATTAACATACAGATTAATATTGTCAAATATGGTTTAGAGATTATATTAAGAAGACACTCGCATCGCAAAGCCAACCAATGAAGGTATGGGTTGGGCATTGCAAATGTAGATACTTTCGAAGGGGATCTTAAATGTTAATGTCATTAGAAATTATGTCCGGATCAACTATTCCATAGGAACAGTTTCACTCATTCTTACATGGTGCCACTCCCGCCCGTCAGGAGGTAAGCGTCGAAGATAGTGGGGAAGCACCGTCGTGCTGCACTACCGAGTTGGCTCCGCGCCCGATTGCGACGGTGTTGTTAGGCACCGCGTTAGTTCACGTTCGTGACCGATCCGGTACGTGGCAAACAGTTCGCGCCCTGGTGGACTCCGCATCCCAGGTTAGTGCCATAGCAGTCGCGTGTTCCACCCGCCTTGGGTTCCGACCGCGTCCGTGGACAATGCTAGTTAGTGGCATCTCCAGTACACCTGTCGTCAGTGTGAAAGGAATCGTCGAGTGCCACATCCGGTCGCGTTTTGCGTCTGAACCCGCGTTGACTATGCAAGCGTGGGTGTTGCCCTCAATCACAAGTGACATGCCACGCAGTTCTCTCCCCGCAGACATTAAGGACCGTTTTTCTACCCTCGCACTCGCTGATCCGCAGTTCAACATTGCGTCACCAGTCGACATGTCACTCGGAGTTTATGTGTTTTCGTCGATTCTGGACGGGCGGAAAATCCAAGTCGACGAGTCACTACCCACGGCTTTTAGTTCAATTTTCGGTTGGGTACTCATTGGGCCACTCACAGCGGCTGCCAGTTGTCATGTCCTCACCACACCGGTGTCCTTAGCTACGTCCATCGAAGCTTTAATGGATAAGTTTTGGACAGTCGAAGAACCGGACGCGGCTCCGTCTTCATTCACCGACGATAGTTGGTGTGAAAGTCACTTTCGCGCCGAACACAAACGTTTACCGTCCGGTCGATTTCAGGTACCGCTGCTGACATGTAAGCCGGTTTCGGAGCTGTCATTACCGGGATCGCGTGCCGTAGTGCTAAAACGGTTTAAGTCTCTTGATCGTAAGTTGATGTCTAACACCCCTTTACGTGTGGCGTATTGTGATTTTATGTCCGAATATTTGTCGCTCGGCCATATGTCTGTGGCAAAATTACCGGGGCGATACATCATCTCCCACCATGCGGTGTACAACCAGTCTAACGGAGATTTAAAAATCCGCGTTGTTTTTGACGCTTCGGCTATATCCCATGATGGTACGTCTCTGAATGGTTGTCTACTTCAGGGTCCAAAGTTGCAGCAAGACATCGTCGATATTCTGACTAGGTTCCGGGTGTACAAGTACGCGTTCACCACCGACATTTGTAAGATGTATCGCCAGGTGATGGTGGCGCCAGAGTATCGTCCGCTTCAACATATTCTATGGCATGCGTCACCACACGATCAGCTCATCGAGTATGAATTAAACATCGTAATGTACGGTCTGAATTGTGCCCCGTTCCTGGCACTCCGCGTGTTGGCCACGATTGCCGAAGAAGATTAACTGAACTGTTAGCGCGTTGGTTACACCACATCAAATGCGTTCTTGACGCTCAGCTCAACATCGTAGGCGTACACGCCTGGACAGATTCAACCATTGTCCTATCGTGGCTGGTAAACCGTCATGAATCGTTTAAGGTTTACGTGTCGAACCGCGTCCACAAAATCCACACGCTCCTTCCGAGCTGTGTTTGGGCACATGTCTCGTCAGCAGATAACCCCACCGACTAACCCACTGTCACAGAATGTCGGACAAATCACTCGCCCGTCTATGTTCGTTCATTGACTCTAATGGCATCATTAGGGTTGGAGGTCGACTTCGTCATTCACAGTTGTCGTATGAGTGTCGGCACCCGATACTCTTAGCGAAATGATCATATCTCGCCTTTTTGGTGTGTCGTCGTTGGCATCGCCTCAGTTGTCATGCCGGACCTCGAGTCGTGATTGCCTTGGTGTCCCGGCAAGTTTGGATTATTTCCGTACGCTCGGTTATGCATAAGGTCAACAGCGAGTGTGCCGTCTGCGTTAGATATGATCACCAATCACCACAGCCGATTTGCCCCCAGCCCGCGTTCAACGGTGCCGACCGTTCATTCGAGTGGGCATTGACTTCGCTGGTCCATTGCAGTTGCGAGAAACTCGCCTTAGGGACAATCCGCCTTAGGTTCTTCACACCAATATTGTACATGGCATTTCAACTTAACCTAACCGGGACAACCAGTCACCCTCATTGTCGTGGCGAATGGGTCGTGTGATAGCACTACTGTCAGGAGCCGACGGTGTGGTACGCGTTGTCCATTTGCGAACCACCTATGGAGAAGTAAAGTGCCCCATCGTCAAGTTGGTCGTTCTCCCCACCCAAGGGACCCATCCAAGCACCCCTTGTTAAGTGCTACCCACTCTTTGTTTTGCTCATGTATGTCTTCTATATATGACCACAATTGTATTTTATAAGTTTTTTTTTTGTATAACTATTTTGATGTCATGCTACTGTAACAGCACCTTTTTTTTTTTTTTTGTTGTATTATATAGCCATGTATTTCTGTTGTAATTTTTTTTTCCTTGGGGTGATAAGTGGTGACAAGCCAACTCTGACTCCGTGAAGTCTTCGTCACCATCCAGCAGTCCAGTTCAACCCTTGCACCAGCGGATGAGAGGCTGTGCCTCCCATGGGGCTAGTATGTTTGTGCACCATCGCGACGAGCGTCGAGGATTCACCAAGACCACCGTCGGTACCCCCTCATTTTACCCCCACCGGTGACGCGCAACCGGTAGCCTGGGCCGTCGATCGCGGTGGTGTGTGCGGAAAAACTTGCTTTCGGTTCTGGACACACGTTCGCGTTCGGCCGGCCGATAACTATCGTGCCTGCGCCGCCTTTTTTTCGTGAGTGTTATCTTCCTAAGGTCGATTCCTTTTAGTACGCGATTGTCGTTTGTCGTGCGTTTGATCCGTGACCATTGGTCAATCTCGTGTGTGTGTCACCGCGTGTAGTTTCAACGCGTCTTTATTTAGATATTGTCGACCTCGTGGTCACTTTTGCGGCCTTGCGTCCTTACGCCCCATTTATCGCGTCGGTTGATTGGTGGACAGTGGTATTGTGCCATCACCGTGCACGTATTTCACGAACTCGATTTTGTTCGTGTTAGACAGTTCCTCTTCAAGTGCGTTTCCCGTACGTTAACCTGTTTTCAGTTCGCGATCACTCTGGTTTCGTTAGCGTCCACGTGGTTTTCACCCGTGGTCCTTTCTACAAGCCGGTTCGTCGTTCGCGTCGTGTACGCCAGTAGTACCAATTTCGTTCCCGACACAAGCCATCCATCGCCACGATTGTTGTCCGTTGCGGTCTGCCGGTTGGTAGCAGTGCTTATTTACGCTGTCATCTAGGAGTCAGGTGTAGCGATTATCAGTTGTGGACCCTTATCACCACCACCTGAGATAAGATTGTTTTTATTTACTTATTGTCTGTACACCTTAATAATAATAAGTTTGGTTTGTACCCAAGGGCATATTATTCATTGGTCTATTAGTTCTTTGGCCTTTTGTTGTCCTTGAACATCACCATCTCCTCCTCTCGCCATATTTCATAAGCTTCTTCAGAGCGACACTGATACTGATGCTCTCAAAAATATATTAGTGTCTCTAAGTGTATTTCAACAAGTATTGTGGACCTTATGGTGATAGTTGATTTGATGTTGTATCATGCAATAGTTTTCTTTCCTGTTAAAATTATATCTTGTGCAAGACTATAAATTCTAAATGAAATGGATTTTATAGGACTAGGTATTAGTGTGAATGTGATGTCAGTTTTAGTCATATTTGTTGAAATACTTTGGCATTTTACTAACTGTATTCCCATGTTAAATTGTTTTAGTTTTGAATGTTCAATATTTATTATTGTTACACATGTTATTCTTTTTTTTAAATATATATTTATACAGTGTATTCTATTCAATAAATTATAGTTATTATTTTTACATTTATATATTTACAGCTACAAATAAAATATTATGTAAAATGTAATCTTCAATAATTATCTAATTAATTTTAAATAATATAAAATATATACCAAACGTACAATAGTTGTATTAAATATTTACATTCAATTTCTATAGTACTAATTGGGAATAGTTATTTATATGTATGAAAATTATTTTAAATATACAAGTATTATATTTTTATTACACTGTAGTTTTAGTGCTAATTAGCTGATGAAAATTATATGTAATATTGATGTGATAGTATTTCATGTTTATTGTTGGAACTAATATATTTTTTTAACTAAAACACAGTTAAATTTTAAAAATTTTGTATTTCAAATACTATTTATCTATAATTTTCTATTGGTATATACTGTATGGTATTTAAATTTACTTTGATTCTTTTAATTACAGTCAATACTTCCATTTTTAACTGCTACTGCTGACAGAAGTTTGGAGATTGAAAAATATCTTCAGAATACTACACCTGAGTTATGGCTTATAGACTTGAACTTTTATCCATTCGTAGATATGTAAATATAATGGATGATATGGTAATAGATAAGTTTTCCCTTAGTGGCAAACTGGTAAAGCTAGACGACTAAAATTAATAATCTAATTTAGTTGTAGGTTTAGTTTATGGTTTTTTAATTCATATGTTGATGCTATTATGGTTTTATTTTGTAATGTAATATGTAACTGATTAGTGCTCCGCCAAAAAAATACCTAAATATGCCACTGAATGTTATAAATATTTATGTACCAGACTCTATACTTCCAACTAAGCTTTGCGTATAGGGAGTAGGTATCAACACTAATATTATAATTTATATTTAAATATTATGTATGTTATAATGTTCAAATCAAATTTTATCCTTTGTTGATACTTTTTCATAAAATAACATAATGTTTATATTGTTTTTCTTCATCTTTTTAGTTTAATGTATAGTCATGATTTTTACAAAATATTTTCAGACTGAAGTTAATTAGTTGATGAGTTATTTCAATTACCTAATTATTTTATTTATATTATCAATCATATTTTTTTTACAATTTTATGTAATTGATACATTTAAATGGTTCTTATTATTGCTTATTAATACAGCCATTGTATTAAATGGTTCATGTGATTTTACTTTTGTAGAAGCTCTGGTGTATTTCTCTCAAAAATATTAATAACTTCTAATAATATCTATGCAGATGTGAATAATTAAAGTGGAAATTTAATTTATTTTAACAATTTTCTTTCAAATTTGACAAACAATTAGAAATTTTACATTTTCATACGCGTTTTATCAATCACCTGATGACCCTACGAACATTTTTCATATAGATCTACTTATAGTATTTTACAGTATAACCTGTCGTATACGCCACACAAAGGCTTGACATATATAACAGATATATTTCGATTATTGAGTCTCAGACCGTCAAAGAGTAAATATCGATACCTTTTGGTTAAAACTTATTTAATTCTCCTTTTGGTGACCACGATAACGAGTACTGCATAAAAGGACAAATTAACAAGTATCACAGGATTTATACTTTATAACTCGAAGATATTTTTACTCTCGAACAACTGACCACGATAACGAGTAGGTACTGGTTGAGAAAGTACAGAAACATCTTGTTACTTTACAAAAGTGTTTTATCGCCAAAAACGCTTCAGTACACACACTAGGATTTGATATTCTCCATTTACTAGGAAAAAAATGAAAAACAAATATTTTATAGTATAAAACCAAATTAGATTATAATAACTTCAAAGTCTAACAATAAAACACACAATTTACTTTTAAATAAAAACTTGTCGTTAGCCGCGATACCCCGCGATTGATCGGTCGCCGTTGCTGTTACCTTATATAGGTTTTGAAATTTAGATGACGACAATCAATTATTTTTGTCTCGTATGTAATTTATTACAAACTATTAAGTTTCAAGTTATAATATTTTGTGATCATTCATATATGGAACAATACAATAGACCTGTTTTTAATTTTTTCAAAAATATTGGTTTTGAAATTTGAATTTGAAAATAAATAAATTTAAAATTCAGGAATTTTTTTTGTTATTATGTTAATATCACTGTATTGGTGAGATTTTTTTTTTGACATTGGCACCAATGAATTTGGAAATTTGATTTTTATTTCTTATCAATGAGGAGAACTGATCTAAGCAAACCAACGGATGTTATTTTTATTGCATATTTACCCATATTGCCGTGGGCAATTCATATATTATTATTATTATACGTTTAAATTATTTATTTATTATTGTGTGCCGTATGTGCCGTATATTATTTAATTACTATATATTTTGATTGTGCCGCTGTAAGGCCAAGCTGAAATTATATCATATCTATATTATTATTATTAATTGTATTTATTTTTTTATTTATATTCATTTAATTATTTTTGTGCCAGTCGGGCAGTATAATATTTTTTATACGCATTCTCTTTTTTTCATTATATCATTATTGTAATTATTATTATGGTCGTTTCACACATAACAGTGACGTGACGTGACGTGACGTGACCGTAACCTTCCGTGTTCAGTGCTATCCGTGATGAATTTTTGACTTCCATCCTCACAATACCGTACCTTTTTACATCAGTGCTCCCTCGTGATTAGTGATGTCTACTATCTAGTTGTTATTCAGAATTGAATTTTTAATTTAATTTTTAGTGTTTATTTATTTAATTAATTTATTTTTTAAGTGCACTATGAATTTTAGTATAGAAGAGCTTAGTATAATAGCATTGCTTTTGGACCAGGACGAAAAGAAGGAAAAAAAAGACACTGGATTCATCCTATATGGAAGTTTCGAGACACCTATGGAGAATTTGCAACATTGTATAGAGAATTGGTGGACTACGAATTCAAATTTTATGAATATTTTAGAATGAGCCAAAATGCATTTTGTGATTTACTAACGAAAGTGGAGAAGTATATAAAAAAAAAAAGACACATGCTGGAGACAGGTTATTTCTGCAAGAGAAAGACTGGCGGTTTTTTTGAGGTATGTTTTTGTGATTTATAAATAACTAGCTGATCACGAGCACTTCGTTGTGCTCTACGACTGTCAACAGTTTTTGGCGATTTCTTTTTGGACAAAAAAACAAGATACAGATTATTATTAATTTCAAACGACGATTAAATAGTCACTGAATATGTTTGTAAGTTGGCCATATTTCATCGATGAATATTCCTGGATAATGTAGGAACCAATGGAAATTGAAAAATTGAAAAATTGTATTCGAACAATGTAGACTCGGGTAAAACGATCGTTTACCGACTTCAACTTTAAGAATGTACTCGCGGTAGTCATCGTTCAATTGTTTATAACAAGAGCCTAACACTTAATTGTCCAATTAAATTCACGCGAGAGTGATAAGTTTATTTAATTACTCGTCGTCACTAATAATATATGTGTGATCTTTAGTGTGTACATTTGTTGATTTAAGGCTAGTTTCTTTTTAAGCCGTGATTTTAGGACATGGATTCCTTGCTAACAACACGCATCTTAAGTGACGCTGGGCAACGTTGAACCTCAGTAATTATCAACAGTTATTGCGCCATATCAGTCTCAATTATGGTGTTGTAATAACATATATATCATTATTACTATTGTGATCATTCGTCTGTTCCGAATTAATGAACATTTAAAACATTTCGAAGTATTAATACTTCAGCCGTCGTAGAGTTATTATTTCATACGCGATTTATTGATCGATTGTTTTTATATAGGTTTATGGACATAAAAATCAAAAATGTTAAAGTTTTCATTCAGCATAATTACTTTGATCGTCATGTTTTCAGGTAAATATCTTACTGTAATGATTACATAATAATACACCAAGACATTAATTAATATGCACAGTGAAACATTAAAATATTATTATTATTATTATTATTATTATTATTGGTTTTATTAGTTGCAGACTGCTTCAATACAGAACCAATGGTTTTAGAATTTAGCTTAGAGAAATTATGTCTCGTGAATTACGCCTGGTGTATTAAAAATTGTCAGTGTTGTTCTCGAAAATGTAATTCAATTGTTAAACAATGCTGGCCTTCACCAAAATCTGATTTTGGTTAGTAGATGTATTAAATTTAACGTATAAACTAATTAAAAACAAATTTCTTTATTGTTTTAATAACAGTTTATTTACATTTTAATATTATTATGTTTTCCAATAACTGACAAAGATTAATAACCATATTATAACTAACCAATAACTTACAAGAAGTATTAAAAAAATAGTACATTCCTCAGTATTTTTAGAATCTAAAACTGACTATAGAATTTTAAAAGAACAGTAACATACAAAATCTAAATTTAACACGTGGACTTGCCTCTTTTGCATACAATTAGTGTTGTTCGGTCCAACAATTTTTTAAGACTGACCGAGTTCAATTTTGACCGGTTTCGGTTTGACCGAATTTAACTGACTTCAATTTACACCATAGTGAATCTCATTAAAGAATTCAAATTAGATTTAGGTACATGAAGTAAAAATCTGCATGGATTGACGAAAATTTTATTCCGAAATTTGAATCACTTCATTTTATAACCAATAGGTACATATTAATTGGATAATTTTCGACAAATAAATACAAATTAAATTTCTAAGGTTACGTCTATCAATCCTATATTATTTGTTTTGTGTGAATTATATAATTTGTATTTTTCTGTTTTATTTAATCATAAACGAAATTTAGAAATTTATTTATAAACTTACAAAATGTATTTTCTTAAACATTAAATAACGCAAATTATTTATATTTTTATATTAAACTTTTTCAAATAAAAACTTTAAATAGTTTAATATTTTAAAGGTTTAAATTAAATATTATGATATAATAAAAAATAAATCATAATAAAATATGAATACAAATTAAAAAAATATTTCTTAAAATACCTATGGGAACAATAAACATATAAAATAACAATATAAAGAACTTAAATTAATTATTGAATTTTTATATTATGTGCTAAAAATATCAGCACGCCTGCAGTTTTACCGAAAAGGCAGTTTCATTTAGCTTTTATAATATTTACCAGCTTTGGAGATTTTTATCTATTTGGGTTTCCTCTCCATAAATTGTAACTTCACAAAAATTATTTACTATTTGATTGTGTAATGGAAATAAAAAAATCAAAAGCTGTACGTTTTTCTTCTGTGTACTCGAAAGTTAGGGTTTCCTTGTTTAAATCTAAATCACTGTTAATTATTAGTTCTTTATTAGTTTTTTTTTTCTGCATTTTATTTTATTGGCTAAGCCAATTTCTCGTTTAAAATGCTTGTATCTAGGGTCAAAAAAATGTGCAAAAGTTCAATAATGTTGGTCGAGAATTATCCATCAAGCTTTGGTTATAGTTTGTGATGATTTAAAATTGGACTCGAAGTTACCGGGAATGGTTATATGTCCCTTAAATCAATTACTTATTATTAATTATTAATTACTATTATTATTATTATTATTATTAGCAATATTATTAATTACTTATTATAAATAAATAATAATACCTCTCCGATCCTTGTATCGACTTACCTATTGAAATCGTGATTGACATCTGAGATATAAGATAAAGTGACTAATTCGTATTTTAAAATAATAATAACTTTTTATTTTATTCACTATTATTGATTTTATTTAAAATTTTTTAACATACAATAGTACACGTATTTTGAATAATAACAACTCATTACGTCTTATTGCATAGACGATCTGCGTAGTCTTTTATACTCGTCTTTGACCGTCTGTACAATATGAGAATAAGAACGCGTCTGTTTTCGTGACTAAAAATTGAGCTCCTTATATATAATGTTATGTGTGTGCGCGTGTATGTGTGTACGTGTGTGTGTGTAATATATTATCATTATATCTTATTCTATTCAATAACTTATCCTTATTCTTGATGGCTAAAAATTCTTATAATTATTTTATAATACGTTAAATTTCAAAAACATATGATTGCTAAGGCGCAGATCATTACAAGTTAGTGGAAAATCGAGTTACAAAATATTTTTTAATGGCCTATTTCAATCATAGCTTAATAGCTAGATCAAAAATAGCTATTTTATAAATAAGTATTTAAAAACAATTTTGGTGTTTAAAACTTATAATTTGATTATGTCATCAATTTTTTAAAAATTTTCAAAGAGTGTTAAAATTAAAATTAATTTTAAACATAAATATTATGAAAATATTATAAAAAAAGTTATTGCATTAATCAAATAGATCTGTTACACTATATACAAGACTAACACCAAACGCATTTTGAAATTATAAAAAATGTTGTAATAATCTTGACATTTGACCTATTTACATTATTGCTGCAACTCGTTTGCACGCATTCAAAATTTTTTACTTGAAAATCGGTAACTCGTTGGTGCGCGACGAAATCAGTCGTTTACTTGACAATTAGGGATGGGTCGAACTGAAGTTTTCACAAACCCGAACTCGAACATAATTTTTTTCTCGAACTGTTCGAACTAGAATTTAAATTTGTTGGTACTTCGAACTATTTTCGAAATTAAAACATTTAAAAGTTAAAATTTAAAAATTTGAGTTTTAACTAACTAGGTATGACAAACTAAAAAGTTAAATATTATAATAGAAGTAAAATTATTAAGTAATGTTATTATTTAAAACGTATATCTAATTACTATATAACTTGTTAATTATTAATTTATATTTTTTTATTAAACTTCCTTTATGTATTATATTCGAATTCGTGCTTGCATTTTTCTCGAACTTCGGACTGTTCAAATTTCTAAAAGTTTGAGGTGTTCCTCGAAGTGTTCGGAGTGTGGGAGAACCCATCCCTATTGAAACTAGATAACTCGTTTGCACACAATGACACATTCACATATATGACACGTGTCAGTGCCGTAGCCAGGGGGTGGGCACGGGGGCACTACCCCCCCCCCCCCCCGAAATCTTTGGGCTTGAACTTTTGTTGTGTATCTATAAAGCATTATACCTAAGTTTTATTATTATATTTATATAAAACAAGCCAATAGGTTAATATTTAATATATTATATTTTGTAATTTGTATAATACATTTAGTTTTATTGGTATAGGTATTTATTGTGTTTCATTTTAAGTCGTTCGTAAATCTAAAATCGTAATATACTAAAATCAATGAATGTCAATTGGGTATATGAAATATAGAGAAAAAATACAAGTCGGGACCCATTTTTATTGTAAACACTAAACACCACGATTATAGGTATAAGAGGACGCCACACCAAAAGTAAAACGTATAAAACGCGCTATTAGGTGTTTTCAAGAAGTGCTAGCACGCGGCGCGTACGTCGACAAGCATTATTATAACAAGCATTATTCGTATCCGGCGACCGCGCGTCGGTCTGACGAGCGCTAGTTCGGGAGCGCAAATTATTATTCCATAAACTTTCATCAAATACCGTGAATCATAAAATGCATATACGCGCATACGTGCATAGTATACATCATACTCTGCCGTAATATTTTTAATATTCGCGGCCCGTGCATACCTAGCTAAAATGTATAGTTACTGCTAGCCTAACTGTCTTCACCAACATATAGATTATTAAATCACTATTATAATATATTTTAAACCATGTTTAACACATTTTTTACTTTTTGAGTTATAAATAAGACATTCTGAATGAAAAAAAAATAACTATTATCTGATGATTTAATGCTTACAGAACATAGCACATTTTTACATCAATTTATAAGAATATTTCACTTACGGTATTCACAAACTCCTTGTATAATTATATACTATAGAACAAAAATAAATCGTTACCGCCATTAGTAGTTAAAAAATTGTACAAGTGTAAACTTTACAAATTATAAATATTTTTGCCACCGTCAAAAGTTCATTAGGAAGCGCGGTTTATTCATTTATGAACAACCGTCGTTATCTATTATTCGTATGACTACTTTGATTACTGATGCCCAAATAATATAAATAATTTAACAATTTTCGGATTTTAAAAATACTTTAAATTGATTATTTTACATTGGTAAAAAACAAGGATATATTTAAAGTATATAGTTGATTCTAAAGTCATCTGAATAAACTTGATGAATAAAAATAATGCGTAAAACACTTACTTTTTGGGTTTGTTGTACCGATTTAACACAAGAGAGTGGCTTATTTCTAATACTCTTTAGTAAGTTTCAGTATACTTGTTTCGCCGCCAGCACTTGCTTTTTGCAGTTTACTGAGCGACTCGCGAGTGTGTGGGAGCAAATGATAATATATCCAGAATATAGTGTTACAAATAATATATAATGAACGGATACATAAAAAATACAAACAATATAGTATAATAATGTAACAACGCTGAAGACGTCTCTTCAGACA